AATTGCCTCCCAACAACTTAGACTGAATTTTAAACAATTATAATCTTTTTGATATTCCATCTGGTTTTAGACCCACACCAACCGCACTGATACCGCTCTAGTGAAGGTAACAAAACTGACATTCGACTTCACACTGATGCAGGTAAAGTCACAGTTTTTGGTCATGTTAGATCATAGTGCCCGTCGACACTGTCGACCATGAGATCCAACATGCGCAGAGACTGGAGGACTGGGTTGGTGTCACTGGCACAGCCCTAGACTGGTTAGTCTTCCCTGGAGGAATGAAGTACTTGTGTAGAAATGGAGACTGCGACACAGATCATGAGGCCCTGACCTGTGATACCACAGTGGGTCGCTCCTGGACCGTCGTCCTATTTTAATCTTCTACATGCTGCCGTTTAGAGGTCAGTTAATACAAAGAACACAAAAGTGTCCTACCACAATTACCGCCGTCGACACTCAGACAATGGTCTCACTGACTGCAGAAGAACATGGGACCACTGGATTGGCTCCTTCACTGAATCCAACAGATCAGTGAGTGTATGCAAAATAATTCTCCATCTAAAAATGCAGACAAAACCGAAATCATTGTCTTTGGTCCCCAGAAACAAAGAGAGGGGCGTCATCTGTCAACTTCAGTCTCTCTCCTACTTCCTTCAGACAAGGTCAGGAAATATGGGTAATGACTGGACTCAGACCTAAATTTCAATAGCCACATAAAATCAATAACATCACACCTTTAAAACCATCTGAATAACATTGCCGAAAGACAGAAATATAGTGTCCCAGGGGCAGACTTGAGAGTCTTGTCCACGCATTTGTCCTCCAGCAGGCTAGACTACTGCAATGGCCTGCTTACAGGTCTGTCCAAACAGACCTGTAAGCCGCTGCAGTACATACAAAAATGCAGCACTAGAGTACCTGACCAGGAACCAGGAAGTATACCATATAGTCCGTCCTCAGTCTCTGCACTGTCTTCCTGTGGCTCAAAGAATTAGATTTAAAACAGCTCAGCTTGTGTACACGTCACTCCATGGCCGTGCACCAGAATACAATAGTGACATGTTGGTAGTCCATATATGAACCAGGCCCGGACTCTTAGGAGCACAGGGACTGGCCACCTGCTGTTGCCCCATAGTGAAGAACCCAAACATGTGAGGCCTGCTTTCAGATCTATGCAGCTAAGATCTGGAACCAATTCTCCCTGAAAATGTGAGTGAGGCGTCTACACTGTACAAAGTTCAAATCCATGTTAAAGACTGATCAGTTTGCTCTGAGCATACAACTGAAGTATTTTAATATCTCCATTTGTAATAGCACTCTGACATTTAATTATTTATTTTTTTAAATTTCTGTGTAACTTTGAAAGTGTTAATGGTTTTTAATCTTGTGTGTGATTATTGTTTTTATTGTGTTTTAATCTTTTGTGTGATTTTAATGTTTAATTGTGATTCTGTGTTTGTTTTATTAGATGATTTGTGATGTGGAACTGTGAAGCGCTTATGTGTTGCCCTGTCATGAAAGGCGCTCTAACAAATAAACCTTTGATTGATTGATTGATTCATATTGTCGCAACAATAAACAAAAAAGATCAGTAAAATATCAGCATAGCATGATAGAGAAGTAATGTATTAATGTATATATCTTTAGCATAATACAGAATCAAATTAATTACATTTAGCATTATAAAGAAGCAAGAATCCTGTATAATCTAGCGAAGACATATACAGTTGTATGTTTACATCTGACATTAAGCAGCATGAGTCTCTGGGATACAGTAAGTACAGTTTATAGAAGAAAATATTGAAACTGGTAAAACACTAATACCATGACGTAAAACTAACTGCATATAATTCATTTTCACTCAATGTTGGAGCTGAACTAAGAAATGTGAAATACATAATAAGATAGTACACACATCAACAATAATTAGCTAATAATAATTAAAGCTACGCAGAGAATACAACTACAACAAGAGTAACAAACTGAATTACTGGTAAACAGTCGAATACAGTGAATACAATTGTTTTGTACAACGCAGAAAAGTGTTTTCTTTTACAATATTGATCCAAACAGAGAGATCTACGAGCATCAGTTCAAATACATATGACACGGAGTAACAATCATACACAGCGCACTACACACTCGAGATTTAAACTACAGACTGTGTTAACGATCTACGCACAATAAGATAGATTTAATTGAGTGATACAAAAGAACGACCACAAAAACATTGTGTGTTTTTATCAGAGGAGAACTTACCGAGTGCGTATGTACTCCAGAATGAATGGAGAAAGCCGGCTCCTCTGTTTAAAACAGCGCCCACAAAAGGTTTTCCCCATAGTCCTTGGATGGGAGACCGCCTGTGAATAACCAGGTGCTGTAAGCATTATGGCCCCTGGAGCTCGGGCCTCGGGGGCGAGCTCAACAACAGCGCGAGTTGTTGTCGTGTAGGTTGAGTTGAGTTGAGTGCAGCTGAAGAGTTGTTTCCGTCTCTCAACCACTCATCAATTCCGGTAGCATATAAAACAAAATAATGGAAGTTGATTAGAGTATGTATGTTTCCACAGCATATCAAAGAAAAGGGTGAATATTTCATTTCAGAACATGTTTTGATTTTCCAATTTAATTTGAAAATGGAAATACAATAAAACAACTCACGTATTTTGATTTCTGATTTGTTTTGAACGGAATAACTAAATGATTGAAGGGTACACGGATTGGACACGGACATATAAAGGATATTGATTTATACCAATTTGAATTATAAAAGGAAAATAACAATAAACGAATGGACAATTGTTTACTTTATCACACACACACAGGGTCAACAGATCGCACTCATTAACACCTCTTTGAAACATACCCGTGCAGTAAAACTTTCAACCACTTGCTCAAAAGCGCGTCCCCTTTCTGGGGAGTTTTAGGAGTGCAGTACCACCCTTTTCACACTTGCTCTATGACGCCGTCAATACTATTACTGACAACAATCAGTCGTGCACTGCAAAATTGGCCTTTATGGAAGAGTGGCAAGAAGAAAGCCATTTCTCAAAGATATCCATAAAAAGTCTGTGTTAAAGTTTGCCACAAGCCACCTGGGAGACACACCAAACATGTGGAAGAAGGTGCTCTGGTCAGATGAAACCAAAATCGAACTTTTTGGCCACAATGCAAAACGATATGTTTGGCGTAAAAGCAACACAGCTCATCACCCTGAACACACCATCCCCACTGTCAAACATGGTGGTGGCAGCATCATGGTTTGGGCCTGCTTTTCTTCAGCAGGGACAGGGAAGATGGCTAAAATTGATGGGAAGATGGATGGAGCCAAATACAGGACCATTCTGGAAGAAAACCTGTTGGAGTCTGCAAAAGACCTGAGACTGGGACGGAGATTTATCTTCCAACAGGACAATGATCCAAAACATAAAGCCAAATCTACAATGGAATGGTTCACAAATAGACGTATCCAGGTGTTAGAATGGCCAAGTCAAAGTCCAGAGTCGTGCACTGCACAAATCTGGCCTTTATGGAAGAGTGGCAAGAAGAAAGCCATTTCTCAAAGATATCCATAAAAAGTCTCGTTTAAAGTTTGCCACAAGCCACCTGGGAGACACACCAAACATGTGGAAGAAGGTGCTCTGGTCAGATGAAACCAAAATCGAACTTTTTGGCCACAATGCAAAACGATATGTTTGGCGCAAAAGCAACACAGCTCATCACCCTGAACACACCATCCCCACTGTCAAACATGGTGGTGGCAGCATCATGCTTTGGGCCTGCTTTTCTTCAGCAGGGACAGGGAAGATGGCTAAAATTGATGGGAAGATGGATGGAGCCAAATACAGGACCATTCTGAAAGAAAACCTGTTGGAGTCTGCAAAAGACCTGAGACTGGGACGGAGATTTATCTTCCAACAGGACAATGATCCAAAACATAAAGCCAAATCTACAATGGAATGGTTCACAAATAGACGTATCCAGGTGTTAGAATGGCCAAGTCAAAGTCCAGACCTGAATCCAATCGAGAATCTGTGGAAAGAGCTGAAGACTGCTGTTCACAAACGCTCTCCATCCAACCTCACTGAGCTCGAGCTGTTTTGCAAGGAAGAATGGGCAAGATTTCCAGTCTCTCGATGTGCAAAACTGATAGAGACATACCCCAAGCGACTTACAGCTGTAATTGCAGCAAAAGGTGGCGCTACAAAGTATTAGCGCAAGGGGGCCGAATAATATTGCACGCCCCACTTTTCAGTTTTTTATTTGTTAAAAAAGTTTAAATTATCCAATAAATTTTGTTCCACTTCACGATTGTGTCCCACTTGTTGTTGATTCTTGACAAAAAACATATTTTTATATCTTTATGTTTGAAGCCTGAAATGTGGCGAAATGTTGAAAGGTTCAAGGGGGCCGAATACTTTCGCAAGGCACTGTATATGAAATCATGACTAGTAAAAAATCACTGGAGGACTTCTGGTAGCCGGGGTGCATTGCCTTGGTGATTTTTTGCTAGCTGACAGTTTGAACTGCTCAGTGTGGTCAAACACTGACGCTGGGGGCCTCATGCGGCCACAGTTTGACCAGGTCTGCTGTAAAGACTGGTACTTTTTAGTTCTTGATGCTGTTTTTTTACACACAGTCGTAACTGGGGGAAAGTACAATGGAGGCCCTTTGTGTCCAGCTTTTTGTCCACCCATAGTTCCAAACAGAGCAAGTGAAGTGGGAAAGGTGTAGGGTCAGAGAGTGTTTTGGCCTGAGTGTGTTTGTGTGTGTTGTGTTGCATGAGTGACATGGGTAAATAAGCACTAAATAAGCATCTGCTTTGTCCAACACCATTTCAAACTGTTTATTGCGGTTTATATATTTTGTATCCTGCATGTGAACTCCAGTCCAATTTTTCCTATGTGAGACAATAAAGTTAACTTAAGTATCCTAGGAGTTTCTTATCTTAAAGAGATCACGTAATAGATCCTCTTCCTCTTTCTTCACTCCTCACATTTTCACATTCTAAAACAGCTGATGGGGCGGGTCCAAATGTCCGCACCCGTCTGTCCAAACGCACTCACCCTGGTTTTGGCTGAGCCGCTGCTCCTCTCCATCTCCCCCAGGATGGCTGCGAGTAAAGAGGACTTCCCCGAGCCCACCGGGCCCACCACGGCCACCAGGCTCCCCCGCTCCACCATCACGTTTATGCTGCTGAGGACAGGGGCCGCGTCTGTGGACCAGGAGAAGTACCCAGCATGCACCTCTATGGCCGGGGCATCTGAGCACACACAGGGACAGGAAGGCAGCAGTGACACATGTGGCGGTTCGATGGATTGGGGATGACTTTTTAGACACACCGTACGTGTAATAACAAAGGAATTTTATTGAGTTTAGGCCAGAATGTGACTTTACAACTCGACACAGAAGTTTGGAATAATACGTTCTGATCAAATGAGAGAAAAATGTGGAATAAGAATGTTATTAAAGTTCACTTAAAACACGGACTAGTGAAAGGAATTATAAAAGGTACGAAGGATGTTTGAGTTACATATTTCAATTATTCTATTGGGAAATTCTTTTAGTCTTGACATTCACATTATTATGACCCCAGTGAGTATCGGCATGAAAGATAAAAAAAAGCAGGAAAAAAGAAAAAGAAAATGTAAATAATTCCATACCAGACACTTTCATAACCTCCATCTTCACGACCATCCAACATTGTTCCTTAACAGTGACAGACCTGCAGTTGTTTCTTGCTCCATCCACGCTAAAATCAAGAACTTCTGTCTATACCCCATTGAGAAAGCTAGAACACTCTGCAGAATCCATACACTATCACAGTATTAGTTTTGAGAATTTCTCCAGTGAAGTTAGTAAGTAAGTAAGTAATCTTTATTTATACATAGTTCCCACATGACGTCACTACATACGGGGATTTGCCGACCCGGCGCCATTTGTCTTGGCATTCTGTGGGCAAAACAATAGAAAAAGAAGCTGAAACGTGTTAATGTCGTGATAAAGTTGAAAATGGTCATCTCCTGCTGGGTCAATGGATGTTCAAATCGTGCCGGAGGTTCCGTTAAACTTGGATTTTACAGTATACCCATCATTAGACTTCATGAATGTGAGAAGACTAAGCTTTTGTCAGAACAACCACGGAGGTTATGGCTTGCGAAGATAAACAGGCAAGAAACTCCCTCAAAACACGCAAGAATATGCTCGGAGCACTTTGTGTCAGGTGCGTATCGTATCTTATAATGTGTTGACAGACGTAATTTACTCAGTACTAACTTGTGTATGCTGATACCTGGTAACTTGAGAGTTTCATTATTTAGATTACTTTATTATGAGGAGGATCGGTGTCGCGTCCGAGGCTCTCGAGGGCAACGTAAATGTATTAAATAGATAATAATAGTTCTATGGTGGGCTAAAACAATGTTCACAAACAGCATTGCTTCTGTAAAAAGATCTGTGTCATAAAATAAACTGCTCTTTACGCCTGGAAAAATCAGTTGCCCACCATTCACCAAAACATACGGTCAAAAACGCGGAAATAAACAATAACAGCAATCCAGAGTGTCCGTGTGGCATTAGCATTAATTAAATTAATTGTTAATATAATTAAAATAATTAAATGGAGCTCCAACTGGTATTAAATCTAAAGTTTTTGAGAAATGTTTGCATTGCTTGTTAATTTTTGCTGCATAATTTTGATCAAATATGTAAAACATGTCCGTAGCACGTTAAACTGTGGTGCCATTGTATTAATATACAATTATTTGCTCAAAAGTTGCCCTTTTTTTCCAATTTGCGTTTGAATATCTACATTTATTCTCATTCTTCTGTTTAATGGAATGCACAAACACAGCAGCGTGCCATCAAAGATGGCGTCTCCGAGGAGGTCATGTGACATTCATTGGTCTGTGGGAACTATGTATATATCGCATTTTTACAGACCCTGGTCACCCAAAGCGCTTTACAATGCACATTTCCCACTTCTACGTCCAGATTCTTTCCCTATATATTGTACATGCGTTTCTATATAACCTACTGGAGAGATTCAACACATTTCCTACACATAAAACATGGAAATTAAATTGGCAAAATAAAGAGTGCATCATATTTAAACAGTTTGGCTGTGAGCTCAATGGTTTATGATGCTGCTTTATTAAACTTAACTCATGCAAATAATGCACCTTATATTGATATTTTTAAGTAAAGTCCATAATCACAACAGCAGATTTCCAAGATTGTTCATTTTCCAGCAACAGATTAGAAAACCAAACAATGGAAAGAGCCATGGTTCAGAGGAGGACACAGAGCGGAGCCCTCACCTGTGCTGTGGGGCAGCCTGCACACACTGTCCCCTTTCACCTCGTCCTGTTGCAGGAAGCTGGTGAGACGTCTGAGAGAAACCACAGCCTACAGCAGAGAACCAGAGCATGTTTTCTCATCTGATTTCAATTCAAAAACATTTGTCTGTGTATAACCCTGATTCACAAGAGCAGTCGTCTCAGAGTGGGATGATCACGGTCCATAAATGTTAATAAATGTGCATAAATGTCCCAGATCATCACTCTCCTTTGACCCTCCCACATCAACCAGGAACCACTAAAAAGGCCAGTGGGAGAAAAAGAAAGCCCCTAGCAGGACCACAGGAGGATGTACATGGATTAACCTGCATTATAGAGAGAGAGAGTATGGCCCCGTCCCAATACTCGCACTTCCACCCTCGCGCCCCTCATTTGCGCGTTCCCGATAAAGGGTGCGAGTGCGTAGGGTGTCCCAATTCTCCAGGGAGGTCTTTGGCCCCGCCCCCTTTGCGCCCCTGATCCACACTTTGCCGTAGCCTGCATCTATGCGCACTCTGGCGAAGGATATTGCCCATAATTCTTTGCGCTACACACCAAAACGACGGGAAAATGCATTTAAATATACATTTTGAAATATATATGCAGTACGTGTGTAAATAAGTTTTGCTATGTTACTTGGAAAGAAGCATAAACGTCTGATGAAGAATTACGGACATTGTGTTTTAACAATTTAATAACTTTTTAAAGCAAGCGTTTATATAACATTCAATTTTAACTTTACACTTAGTACAATAATCTTAGAATGTATAAAAACTGACCAGATAGTTAGTTACCCACATTTAACTTAAAATTATACCGCTATCTCTAATTAAAAACAACTAATATACATGTATTTTAACGTGTGTGGAGCAATTCATATTGTTTCCCAAAGGGTCAGACAAAATTACCTTTAATTTTTATAAAGTTTAGGTCTGAAAATGACCATCTCTTGACGAGTCGATGACGTAAACTGCACTCAGTGTGCACTGTCCCAATTCCGCCTTTTGTGCAGGCTTGCAACCTGCGCACTCAAACCCTTGTGCGCACTTCAAACAAATGCACACTTCATAGGAGGGCGTAGGGTGCAGTGTGGGTATTGGGACTGGGCCTATGACTTTATGAAACAACATGTCCACCGTCCGCCCATTTGTGGGAGAGGATCTGTGAACATGTGGCATCATTCTTTCCTTCTATATTACAAATGTTTATTTTCTCCTGAAAATTGTATCACAAAAAAATCACAAAGAAAAAATCTCTTTCAAAAGCTGTGAAAAGTGCATTTTGTGAGCATCTCCCCTTGACATTATTGTTGTTTTGTGCAGCCTATTCCCCCCTTTATAAATATGTAATTATTTTCTCTTTTTCTGCTAAAACAATTTCACAAAACAAAAAGGTTTGGGCAGAAGTTTAACACTTATATTTTTGCTGCACAGCCTCAAGTCTTTGATGTATGGAAATTTAGAGGACACTGCCTGCAATACCTTAAGCATCCAGCAGTACTCAGCTGCCTTCTGATACTACCCCATCATGATAGTATTAGTATACATACAGTATATATATATATGCAGTACATGTATGTTTGTATGTAACACATTTTAGTCTTGCATGTTTCGTCATTTGTGTCCTCATCTCTGCCTTGTCAGAGGGAGGCGCTCTTGAGCAGCAGGGTTCTGATGACAGAGAACAAGTGTTGAGTGACCGGTGCCAAGAAGGTGGTCCCACTTGTACATTTCCCTTTTGCATATTAAACTCCAGCTCGTTCTTCATTTTCTGAAATCGCTTTTTGATTGGTTTTTTAAATGAAAATTTGCAACAATAAAAGATGTCGCTAAAACCTGAAATCAAAATTTGGCTGTCTTCGAATAATGGTTTGAACGCTCTCTATGAGCGACCTTATTCTTAGGGCTGTTCTTTGCAGACAGATAAGGGTAGTAGAGCACTCATCTATGTTTTTCCACGGATCTCACAACAATAAGTCAGATATGGAAAAATCAATCAAACAAACCTGAAAAAGTTTTACAATTCTAATATTTTCCTAGATAATTCATGATATTATTGTCTCCACTGAACATGAATAAAGCTTGTGTGAGGCGCTGAAGTACCTGAGCCGCGGTGCTGATGGCGAACGGGAGCTGGCTCAGAGGAGTCTTCAGGATGTTGATGAGAGCTGCAGACACAAAGATCTTCTGAGCGTCCAGAACGTTGTGCTCGTCCACCAGAACGTAGACTCCGAAGACCGTCAACATGACCTGCAGAAACACCAGCCACAGTCACAGCCCTTTATCAGGGACATCAGGGAAATGTCAGTGTTGCGTCAGCAGTTACAGAACAGCAGGAATGAGAAGCACACAGCACCAGAATGAAACATCTAACTAAGGATAATAAAGAAGATGTCATGGTGTGGATGTTATTTCTATATTTGGTTTTATTTTGACATTAGTTCTTTGTGGGTTTTTTCAGTTTTACTTCCTGTTCTGTTCCCCTGTTGATCGTCTGCCCCGCCCTGATGTGTTTCACCTGTGTCTGTCTGTGTCTATATGTACCATGTGTTCCTCTCCCCTTGTTGTTGGTTCATTGTATTGTCTTGTCAAGTTCCTGGATTTCCTGAACATTATTTTATTAATTAAATCATTATTTATGCATTGCTGCTTTTGAGTCCTCCTCCTTATCATCCTGCAGGACAGAAGCAAGAATAAAGACTTTGATAGCATGATGAAGAAGAGTGTGTGAAATGCTGTATCTTCTAGTGCCTGAAATACAGTATACAGTATATAGGGACACCGTGACGATAACACGTGTGGTTTCTTATCGCTCATTCTGACATTCGTTATTATTGCATTCTGACAGTTTTAGTGCATTGCGACAGTGGCTCAGTTGGTAGAGCATTGGCCTTGATGCACTCTGACAAATTACTGCACAGATGCTCGACATGCGAGGTCAGGTTGGCAGTGTCCGTGAGGTTGTGTGTGCACCAACATGTGTGCACAACCCCCCCTGAAACGAACCTGAGGAATGCAACTAATCCAAAATAGACAGCTCACCAGGAAGGAGGAGGAAGCGAAGGAGGCCAGGGACACGCAGTAGAGGATCTGCGATTTCTTGAGCGCGGCCAGTTCCCCGTCCCTCAGCGCTCCGACCCGCCGCTGGAACACCTGCTCCCAGGCGTAGAACTTCAGGATCTTCATCCCAGACAACATCTCCGTCATCAGCTTAATGCGGCCGTCCAAGTATCCCAGCTGCACCTCCTGGTGAAGAAGACCCTTTTAGTATAACTAACTAGATTATTTGTCCATATTTCAAGGATTATGAATGAAAACGCAAATATATTTGTTTCACTCGTTGTTAGTGATTGTGTGGCACCATATATTGTCAAATACCGTAAATGTGCTTTCTATTTTCAAATGACTATGACCAGACTCCTCTGCTGACCCTGATCAGAACTTTCCACCCCCCTGTTCTACCCGTGTGAAGTGGGCACTCCACTTTTGCAGCTCAAATCAGCACAAAAGAAAGACTGCATTTTTATACATGTTTTCCACTTTAACATCTATGACAGCTTGGAGTCTTTTGTGGTAATTGTGGAAGACATTTTTCAGCTCTCTGAAGGTAAAGCTGCCCTTTCTTTTTAGCAAAATGTAAATATATACTATGGCTACACATGACCAGCAATGATGATATGTTGCACAGCGGGGATCACCAGTTACAGAACAGTAGGAATGAGGAGCACCCAACACAAGATAAATGAACAATAAATCTATACTAAATTTAAAAAAACTTTGGAGTAAAAAAAACGGGAAGTATAACATCTCAGCCTTTGCATAATGAAGAGGCAAGTATTAAGTATAAAATCCCTGGCTTTAGCATTTTAAGAAGTAGGAAAACATCTCTAAAACTAGCATAATAAAGAAACAAGTATAAAAAAAAGGAGTTGTTTGTCCCAGACCCCTGATGCTGCTAACATGCCCAGATGTAAACAAAGCGACTAAGTAAACACATGTGGTTTCATAATGCACATTCTGACATTAGTTCAAATTATAGTCAGTGTTTACATTATTGTTAAGGATCTCCAAAATGTGGCCAAACAATGACACACCTGTGAGGTTTTATGAACCTCAAAGCTCAACTGTATGTGGATCATTGTAACAAACTGTAGACAAGTCTTAATGTTCATCAAACACTGAGCTTTACCTGTAGTTTTGCGCGCACGGTTGTGATGTAGCCGTTCAGTGGAAAGAGGAGGAGGACTGCAGCCAGCCCAGCCAGAGCTGAGGGACCCAGCAACTGCGGACCCAACAGCACAAGTCTCAGTCAGCATTCCAGTTCTGTCTGACCCAAGTGTAAAAGATTGTTCAAATGCAGTTATGCGGACAACAAATAAACTACAGAGCTACGATAGTTATGATGGAACTACAAGCATAGTGTGTGAGGGCCATCAGTGTTTGAACATATAACCGTGTAAATTATCCTGCTCCAGAATAAGGAGGATGAAGAAAGAGAAGAAATCTTGTGCGTCTGAGTTTTCATTATCAGATGTGAGAAATGTATATTTTTTATTTCAGATTGGCAAATTACTTCTGAATGTGAGTTGTATATATCCAGAGCTATAGACTGTATAGAGATGGACAATACTCACTAGCTCAATCCTAACCCATTAGCTTCAAGACTCCCCAATAGGGAAGTGCCCATGGATGAATTGTTGCTCCAACTCACTCTGGCTACCATTGACTTAAATTGAGTTCCTCTAGCCAAGTAACTGTCGGAGTTATACTCCTCATTTTGAGTTTCTATGTTGATATTGAAGTGTAAATCCAGATCTATAAGGATGGACCAATCATTGACCAATCATTGACCTTCATTTCTGGGGGATACTCCAGCTTGTCTTAGCAACATGTTAGTTTTCATCGGCCCCTGCCATGGCGCTCGGTCACCCCATCATCACAAATGCTCCATCTCCGCAATTGGTAAACTGTATGATGGTCATTCCACTTCTACTATACAATCTGTGGTACAGACACACACAAATACACACACACCAGCCAGAGGAAGTAGAAGCACAGTGCGATCTCGAAGGGAGCGGTCCAGATGCTGTTGATGTAAACCACCAGGTCCATGAGCTTCTGAACGTCTGCAGACACCAGGGAGATGACCTCTCCGGCCGCACACTGCCTCCGCCCCCCGCTGCTCATCACCAGGCACTGGGGGCAGGATACAGTACACCACAGTGTGACAAACAGGGCCGTTCAAAACATTATATTCAGATTTTTATCTAATGGAAGACCAAAATGATGAAATACTGGACCTGTGGTTTCATGTTAAAGACTATTGAGTTTTTGTTGTTTTTACATATTATTATTGAACTGCTTCTCTTATCTGTCGTTGAGGAATAGACAACTTTGTTAAGTTCTCAGAGACTATTGCTGTTATGATTTACAGCTACACAAAAAATAATTGAACTACATCTTAAAGTAAATAAGACTGTGCACTCAAACCAATGAAATATACTAACCCAATAGAAAATAAGCATACAGTGAATGTGTTCAAGCTAATGACATTTTCTTTTCATAGTAACAATATAGATTTGCCATACAGCTGCAGCGCAGGGAGACATGGCTCAATAACGCCATCTAGTGGATTTCACGCTACATACAACATCAGGACATAATGACAATGTCGTTTCATGTCCAAATGTTTTTTTTTCAGATCATTATCTACTGTCTGACAGGCTTTTCTACTGGACAACGTTTTGCATATTTGAATGTTCTCACTACTTCTAAACACCTTTATGAGAAAATAATTATACCATAGTTGATATATGCAGACATAAGGATTGACAAAAGAATTACAAATGTCCTCAACCACAAGTTTAAACTTTAGGTTCTTTGTAGCGTTTTAACGTGTGCGTATCTGCGTGAACAAGTATAAAACATGAACACTGAGAAGAAGCAATAAATCCATTCAGTTGTCTGCTTTAATAATATACGTGTCACACAGGGCACAATGTTCTTCAAAACAGGCTTTTGTAACGTTGTGTAACTAGAGACCTTACCCAAAAGGAATGTGGCGGTTAAACTTTAGTTTCAAAGTGCAGAAAACATCTCTGCTCAAGGCGTTATACGACTTTGTATTGGGGATGCATTTGTTTAAGTTCCTGATATTAACATAAATGGATCTAACTACAGGTCTTTTGTTTATGGGGAGCAATATTGCCTACTAAGCCTATTAAGCCCCTACTAATGTGCTCCCTACTTTAGCAGAAGGGAGCACACCAATAAATGATGTAATAATAAGTATTTGTGGTGAGTGTCGGGGCAGTGTGGCGGACCTTCCTGTAGATGAGGCCAGTGAGCGCTGTCTTCAGCCTCATGCCCACAGTGAAGCAGTGGTACATGTACTGGTGGAAGAGCAGGGACTGGAGACAAGAGAGCAGGAAGAGGAGAGCTGCGAACAGGAGGCCTTTCCAGAGAGGAGAGGAGGAGTCCCGCATGAAGTCCAAGAGCAGACTGTAACACACACACACACACACACACACACACACACACACACACACACACACACACACACACACACACACACACACACACACACACACACACACACACACACACACACACACACACCTGTCATAGTTAGAAGCATTTTGAGCCGCCCACAAATCTTCACAAGGTCGACACCCCCCCCCCATCTGATTTAGGGGACAATCCATAATAAATAAATACATACATTTGCTGTGTCCAATAAAGGTCCATGTCCCGGTCCAATAGTGATAGCAGAGGCCAGGAATAACACCCAAAAATCCACAAGATTATTGGCCAAAGTCTGATGAACCTAAAGCTCTGGTCTCGTCTCAAGCAATTAGTCAATGACATTAACAAATGTAAAGTCAATGTTTGCTTCTGTTCAATCTTTAAAGATAATATTATATACAACATATTGTATTTGTCAAACCAGCCACTAATTTTGTCTTTGATTTAGTTGTTTTTTATTATCATTTACACAAAGTTGTTTTCAGAGAGATCCATACAAATTGGTGGAATTTCGAGGACCCCATCGAAACTGAGATGTTTCATCAATATGGGGCTAATCCTCCAAAAATAAAATTAAAAAGTTGAGTATATTTTCTTACACCCAAGACAGTCACGGTCCCTCTGTGATGCGCAGAGCTTAACGGATCTTTCATGGGGCCATGGGCAAAGCATATTCACTGCACAGTCCGGCCCTCACTGATCCACTGCAGGAGGATCAGTGAGGAACTGGTGCTCTGTGGGTGAAAGCTCTGACTGCCACCCCCCGACCCAGAAATGGATTAAGGGGAAGAAAATGGATGGATGGATCAAAATACATAATTTTGAATGGTTGTCATAATCCATCCATCCATTTTCTTCCCCTTAATCCATTTCTGGGTCGGGGGGTGGCAGTCAGAGCTGCACCCAGTACACAGAGCACCAGCCCTTCACTGATCCTCCTGCAGGTGCTGAGTCCACAGGAGGACGACTGCTCTGTCAGTGACTACAGCAGGGGCTTTGAGCAAAGTTGGGTTGAGTGTCTTGCCCAAGGCAACAGCAGACATCAGTGGGGGTCTCATGGTGGGCTCAAACCCACGACCTTCAGGCTCAAATGCGAAAGCTCTACTGAATGAGCCACTGTTAAAATCAACCTTGACCGTGGCAACCGCACACAAGGATCAACTCTTCAAAATCACAATACAGTACATTCCATGTGCTTTAGGCAAAGAACAGTGTAATCAGTCAAAAACATTACATACACTGAAGTTTTTATCAAAGTCTGTCAACAAAGTTTTTAAATTGTTCAGAAGGACCAGCTCACATACACGCCACTAATTTAGCATTCTACTATTATTTTGACCTCCATGGTTTGAGCCTAAATCAATGAGAACGGCCTATGATTTGAAATGGCAGACATCTCTGGTCACTGGGGCTTGCCCATCTCTGTCTGACCCCAATTACATTTTAGTAGGAATTAGTCCTGGGATGACTGCACCTAAGGATTCATAGATCCGTGAGCAAACAAGACACAGTGATGAGCGAGTGAGCGGAGGTTTGTCAAGAGCCTAAGAGCTCTGTGAGACTGAAGTGACTGTGCAGAGGCCTGTCTTTAAATGTTTCCATAACGAAGGGCTAGGTGAAGTGCCTGCAACCTTTTGGACTAAAAAAGAGGCAAAATTAGCTTTTTACTTTTTAACATAAATGTGTACATATTCTATTGCATTTCCATTAAGTGATGTCATAAGCTTAAAGGTCTTAGCAGAAGTCATTTGTTTGTTTTTGTGACATTTAGTACCAGTTACAGTCCAACGTTTTGTTGAAGCCCATTAAAGGCAGAATGAAGAAACTCAACAGATTGCATTGAGGTTGGAGCTTAGTCGTGGAGTACCGTATCATTAGCAGGTGAATGTAATGAGGACTTTTACATATCTTTTGAGGGATTGTGGATGCATATGATGAAGAGAGGAGGCCCCAGGGCTGAGCCTTGGTGCATCCCTTGGTGAAAGGTAAGTGTGATAGACTATCCACTTCCACACTGAGGCCAATAATAAGCATTTGCTTCGTCCAACCCCTTTTCTAACTATATTTTTCAAATCTGCATCTTGTTTGTTTTGTTATGCAGTATGGAACATACACGTTTGAAATAAATACTTACTAATAATGATAATTTCTAAAACCAGCTGATTACTTGCGTTGAGACATGAGTTTTTATGAGCGTTATTCAGACTTTTCATTCAGTGGCACCTGTAATTGAGCTATGACACTCTTTGAATCAGGATTTAAATTTGTAATTTGGAACTTGTATAGTGCAATAGTGTCCTGACCTGAGCACCTGTGGCACGGTGAACATGGCGACGTCGTGCAGCAGCAGACACACACTGCCACACAGGAAGTACAGACCGAAGCTCCGAGCTGTCATACGGAGCAGCAGCAGCCTCAGGTCAGCTCTGCTCTGCTCCCTCTGCAGCAGGCGAGACTTCTCAGAGAAGGCGGCTGACCACTCCATGGACATACTGACAACACACACACAGTAGAGCAGGCATGGATACACTAACAACACACACACACACACACACACACACACACTAGAGTGGGCATGGACACATGAAAACCTGTAAAACAATAACATTTGTGTCTATGTGAGTGTAAGAGAAGTTTATGTTTCTGAGCTGTTTCTTGCTGATGCAGGAGGACAGTAGTGATCCTGATCCCTATGGATCAAAGACTCTTATGTGTTATCATTGCTCTTTCTGTATTTGAAACTGATTCTCGGATCTGGTCTTTTCTGGCAAATAGACAACTGGCCTCGTACCTGGTCTCCTTGTGTCTCTCGGCCCAGGTCTTCTCCACCTCCTCCATGATGTGTGTGGAGCAGTCCTGAGGCCTCAAAGCCCACAGGTCCCAGGCCTGGAGCGGGCTGCGACACCCCTTACACACCAGACTGAATGTGGAGCCAAGAAATGCAGTGTATAAATAGATATTCAACCCAAATAAAGTACTATCATACGGTCAAACTCATTAAAGAGTACTGCTATGTGCGTAACAGCAGCTAAAGTTACCTGCTAAACCAGAAGAAAAAGAATTGTGATAGGAAGGACGCACCCTCCTCCGGGCATTTCCTCTGCAATAAAAAAACAACAGTTTTATTTTCTTCGTCTGGTGTCTGGGCTGGTTAGGATTGTTTTTGGGCTGGTGCACATTCATCACTGTGTCATTGTCACTTGAAATAAAGGGTTATGATATGTGTGGCAAGTGAAGGCGACTACGCTCTCCTAAAACAATATATCAATGAAATAGTAAAAAAGAAAAAGACAAGCAACCATAGCCTGGTTGTACCACACCATAGTACAAATTACATTTCATACTAAGGTCTGAATTTGCTCCATTGAGCTCCGTGAACAGATGGGAGGGGTTAACTCCTTTTGCAGATTGAAACGATTGGATCTGAGTTAACTGTGACGTATGTAATGCGCCCGAGTGAGCGCCCGAGTTAGCCTAGCCATCTCCTTTGCTGCTAACAGAGCCCGTGGGGAGTAGCGCCACAATCTTGACCAGCGATTACATTTGCTAAACATTCCTCTTGCTCCTGCTTCAATTTCTTGATAGAACCAGACCGGATTACTTTACCATCGCATTCTTCGCCATTGCCAAACTACAACCTGCCCGTTCGGCGCAAACTGTTGACGTCACCGGCACCGACCCACAACACCCGCCTTCCGCGCTCTCTGAGTAGCCGGTCGAAATACGACCGATTGTAATCGCAAACACAGGGACCAGACCCAGACGCTACATGCAGTGAAATGATGATTGAGCGGAGTGTACGAGTGGCTAAGGCCAGGCTAGCAACGCCAGGGCAGAGTGCCCAAAATAAAATAAAAAGCGCACTAAGGCGCACAGGTTCGTAAATCATAATTAAGAGGCATAGGCAGACATGAAGTTACTTGGATTTATTACATTAAGATGAACTGATCAGTTTTCTGCGTTCAATATGTCGTTACATTTCATATTTATAGTCACAAGCACATATCTTAAGTTCACGAAGGACTCCGGAACACAGGTGAACACCAAGAAGCACGGAAGAACAGTGAGAGAAACAGGAGAAAAAACAGCAATGGACCGCGATATTCCCCAGCTTTTCTACAGCAAATGCTGAGCGCGCACCCTTGACAGGTGACGGTTTAAATGCCCGGACCCACTATACAACACTACTAAGATGTGTGTGTGTATTGTCCAAGCAGAAACTAAAGAATAAAGGTAAAGGTGCACTTTATTGAGCCCCGTAGGGCAATTCATCCTCTGCATTTGACCCATCCTGATGCCACAAGGCTTACGTCAGGAGCAGTGGTCGCCGGCTTGGTCAGGACTACCGGAGCAAGAGGATTTAACCTAGTGTAGGATCTAACCTGATACAAATATTGTAAACTAAATATGAAACATTTTCCTCTTGATATCTATCCATCATTTCTATTGGTGGAACTTACCGGGGTTGGTCGGGATTGGCTGTCCGGCTGGTAATCTGAGAAACACGCGAGGATGATCTGCAGAAACTGTAGCAGCACCACCAGGAGGAGCACAGTGAAGCGCACTGGGTCTGAGGAGAAGCTCTGGGGGCCACACAACCACAGCTCGACTGAGTTTAAGGTAAAACCACAGACTGTATCATACTATCGGACAGACCTAGCTTTTAGGAACGTGTTTGAAAAGAAAAGTACTCATCACTGCTCTTACTCTTGGACCAGGCTTTAAAGTACCTAACTTTGCTCCCTAATGCCGCGTTCAGACCAGATCATGCTGCGTCGGCTCTCAATTCAAAGTCAATGGTGACGCGCGTTCGAGACGTCAAAACGTCTCGGAATGCTCGCATGGACTGCGCTCGGAAGTCGAAGGGGAGGAACGCAGGAGATAGATTTTGCTCAACCTTTCCTCGGGACGTTCGTGCAGCAACCAATCAGAGAGCCGCAAAGTGGTCATGGGGACATTTTCGGAATGAGCGAGCAGACTGAACATACTGTAAACAGCCAAAACAGGAGCTACACCAGGACTAAACCAGGGTTGACAATGGGGGACATCGTGCTTGTTAACATGTGGGTTTTCATGCTCATAGTACATACTTTATGAAACTGCTTCAAGCGTGTACGCCGATGCGGAAGTACCGTTTAATAATAAAATAAACTTATTGCCCCAAATAAATACTTTGCCCCAAAGGAAAGAGTATTAAAATAAACCTTGAACCACAACATACTTATTTTTTGCATACTTGTAAGAAAGAGCGACGTGTCAATATTTGGTGTTTTTAGTGGTCCTCTCTTTTTAACCTTTCTGTTTGAAAAAGAAGATCTAAATTTGAGAAAGCGGTAAAAAAAAAAAATGTGAAAACTAGTGATAGCGACAAACTGTCTTGAGAGCGAGGAACTTATTTCAAAGAATAACTAAATATCATCAAATCTTATCCCCCCACCCCTTCTGTCCGAATGCTTCCCTTTCAAACTTGATACTGTCTACAAAGACAAATTACTTCTTTACAACAATGTGCTTTCTAATGTCATGTTACATTTAGTTTAATATATAGAAGAATATACAGTGCCTTGCGAAAGTATTCGGCCCCCTTGAACCTTTCAACATTTTGCCACATTTCAGGCTTCAAACATAAAGATAGAAATTTATTGGATAATTTTAACTTTTTTAACAAATAAAAAACTGAAAAGTGGGGCGTGCAATATTATTCAGCCCCTTTACTTTCAGTGCAGGAAACTCACTCCAGAAGTTCAGTGAGGATCTTTGAATGATCCAATGTTGTCCTAAATGACTGATGATGATAAATCATCAGTCATTTACACCTGTGTGTAATCAAGTCTCCGTATAAATGCACCTGCTCTTTGATAGTCTCAGGGTTCTGTTTAAAGCGCAGAGAGAACCATGAAGACAAAAGAACACACCAGGCAGGTCCGAGATACTGTTGTGGAGAAGTTTAAAGCCGGATTTGGATACAAAAAGATTTCCCAAGCTTTAAACATCTCAAGGAGCACTGTGCAAGAAATTATATTATAATGGAAGGAGTTTCAGACCACTGCAAATCTACCAAGACCCGGCCGTCCCTCCAAACTTTCATCTCAAACAAGGAGAAGACTGATCAGAGATGCAGACAAGAGGCCCATGATCACTCTGGATGAACTGCAGATAACTACAGCTGAGGTGGGAGAGTCTGTCCATAGGACAACAATCAGTCGTGCACTGCACAAATATCAAAGATATCCATGAAAAGTCTCGTTTAAAGTTTGCCACAAGCCACCTGGGAGACACACCAAACATGTGGTAGAAGGTGCTCTGGTCAGATGAAACCAAAATCAAACTTTTTGGCCAAAATGCAAAACGATATGTTTGGCGAAAAAGCAACACAGCTCATCACCCTGAACACACCATCCCCACTGTCAAACATGGTGGTGGCAGCATCATGCTTTGGACCTGCTTTTCTTCAGCAGGGACAGGGAAGATGGCTAAAATTGATGGGAAGATGGATAGAGCCAAATACAGGACCATTCTGGAAGAAAACCTGTTGGAGTCTGCAAAAGACCTGAGACTGGGACGGAGATTTATTTTCCAACAGGACAATGATCCAAAACATAAAGCCAAATCTACAATGGAATGGTTCACAAATAGACGTATCCAGGTGTTAGAATGGCCAAGTCAAAGTCCAGACCTGAATCCAATCGAGAATCTGTGGAAAGAGCTGAAGACTGCTGTTCACAAACGCTCTCCATCCAACCTCACTGAGCTCGAGCTGTTTTGCAAGGAAGGAAGAATGAGCAAGAATTCCAGCCTCTCGCTGTGCAAAACTGATAGACATACCCCAAGCGACTTGCAGCTGTAATTGCAGCAAAAGGTGGCGCTCCAAAGTATTAGCGCAAGGGGGCCGAATAATATTGCACGCCCCACTTTTCAGTTTTTTATTTGTTAAAAAAGTTTAAATTATCCAATAAATTTCGTTCCACTTTACAATTGTGTCCCACTTGTTGTTGATTCTTGACAAAAAATCTTTTTTTTATATCTTTATGTTTGAAGCCTGAAATGTGGCGAAATGTTGAAAGGTTCAAGGGGGCCGAATACTTTCGCAAGGCACTGTATATTCTCACTCCTACCACTGGATACAGTACATCGTTACTTAATATTGTAAACCCTTACTCATTTTTTCTTGTTTTTTCCAAAACATTTATATTCAAGAAATGCTTTCACATTCTAAAACTTGAAATACAAACATACTGTATATGTTGTAAAGTTTATGTCGTTCTTTGTAAGGTTTGTTTTTTAGGTTTTTAGGTTAACAAATGTAAATATAAGGCTAATTTGTTAAGACATCTAATACAAAATATTTATTTTCCATTGTCTCCCAAATAAGGTCATGCAGGGTCAAAATTACAACATAGAATGCTTGATAGTGATAAAAATGCGTTGAGGCACATGGCAAACAAGTTCATTGACACAAAGCATTCCATTAGAGCAGATTGTTGACGAACCAGTGCCAAAGGTGTCACGTATGTTCTAACAGACTGAGAGGTCGGCGACTTTCTGAGAATCTTGACCCAATGAGAGCCTCACGTGTGCATCTCAAACAGAGGTCCCCAGCACAGGCCTCTGCAGAACGTGGCTGAGGGCATGGATAACAGAATCATATGTTTCAAAACAAAATTAGAACTCCTTTAATGTTTGTGTCAAAGAGGTTCAGCTTCAGAATTTCTTTTTCCCACTCAAAACTTAGCATGGCTCCCATCTGCTTTCAAATGTTGACTTTTCTAGGGGGCACTATGGAGTCAGTGTGCTTTGGACGATCTCGAGATGAGAAGTGATCATTTTCATGCATGTCTTTAGGGTAAAGAAAATGTAAAATTGTTGTTATGGCTTGGAAAAAAGCCATGGTTTTCAGATGGAAAAATATATAAATAATAAGACCCTTGAATAATATTAATAGTAATTCAAAATAAACTTGGATGGATAAATATTATTGATATATTTATATGTATCGTTTGTACAAAGTTTACAAAGTATGTCAATGTACAGTACATTGACATAGGATATGTTTTGGTGTATGTATGTTATCTATAAACAATGATAATGTGTTATGTATAGAATATGTATATTCATAATAAGCTGCGTACAGTGTTGGGGAGTAACAAAATAATTGTTACGCCATTACGTACTGCATTGAGAATACTCTTTCTGAGTATCAGTGTTCCATTACAGTTACTACTTTAAAGTCTATTATTTGGAATATAGTTACTCTCACAGGAATACTTTTGTTTTCACATTAGGTTTTTAAGGTCAAAAAAAGAAAATGTAGCATATTCTTTAAGTTAAGTTTTTTGTTTTTTTTCTGGTTGATAAACAGAATCTTAAATGGCAACCCTTTGACTTGTCTCACAAAAGATTTTGTTTCATTTATTTAAACATGTAATAACATGTAAATAAATACAAATATAATTATCAAAAGTGTAAACAAAAGAATTCTAAGAATTTGGAATACAGGAACTACTTCTTCCCATTTAAAGGAATACTATACAAAATACATTATAGGTCATGTATTCAGTATTCTGGAACGGAACACAATTTCAATGTTTTCTATGCTGGTTGCATATAATTCATTTCAGGGTTTGATGCGGATTAGCTACACAGTGAGTCATTTTGTTAATAGGGTTAGGTGAAATAACTGTTCAACTTCTGGCTAATCCTTTCAGTCTTCCAAATTGTCTATTAATGTATGTGAAAATGTTCTTTCCTCTGTGTATGGTGAACCTGCTGTCGCCCATAATGATAGATGGAAGATTAACCACAGTACTCTGTAGGGGACTTAGGAAGACTAATTTTTTTATTCTGCAGTTTGTTTTGACCCCTTTATTTTGACTTGTACCTGTCTTCTTCACACCGCTCTCACACAAGGTCCCAGGTTGACACAACATTTGGTCCCTGGATTAAATTCAGTATTTGGCATTATGTGGAACTACACAGAGACTGACCTGGTCCATGATCTGCTCCACCGCCACCTTCAGAGGAAGTAGAGAGCAGAGAACCGACAGCAGCCAGAAGAAGAAGAGCAGGATGGAGGAGAAGACCCCTTTGAGACGCTCCACCTGGATCACACAGACGGCCAGCACCTGCACAGCAGCGGTCACACACACGGATGCAGCCATTTCAGATCTTACTGTCATGGGGCCTATTCGTAAGGCCAGCATAAGTGCATGAGGATGTACGTCACTTTGCATGCCAAGTGAAAATCTTGTATCCGTCATCAGTCAACATCTCAACCCCTACTCAGCTATGCCAAATGAAATGTTGCTTCACCGATGTGCGATCCCTAACTAACAACACATCTTTTTGCAAAGTATGTCATATGCCCAATGACTGGAAAGTGCCTCAGTCCGGCATCACGTGGCCTCGGTCCTCGTCCTACAGCTCTCAGAGCTGGGTCTTTAGCCTGTCCGTCTGTCGGAGCGGATCCCTCCCCCAATGTGACCCTCCCCACGGTTTCATATTGTCTCCCACTGGGTTTTTCGAGTTGTTCCTTGCTGATGTCAGAGGGTCTAAAACTGCAGCAATGATCTGTTGGAAGTAAAACCTGCAGCCACATGGCCCTTTCTGGAACCGGTTTGAGACCCCTGATCCAAGACATTCAACGACATTTATGGACCCTATCAACACTTATGGCCTTTTGTCATCTGCACCTTATGGACCCATGTGTTTTTTAGCATTGCATTTCCGGCATTTGAAATGGTTAATTCTCTGATTTGTGCTGGCAAATCAAAAGATAAATGTTGTTTGGAAATACTATGTATGTCTGTTAGTAATCTCCTTCAGAGTTTCACCTGCTCATGCCTGACAATTCTTGGTGAAATTGGTGAAAGAATACAATTATGTTTACCCTGGCTGAATGATAATACTAGACATTTACATGTAAAGCATCAAGGCAGGAAAGCTAAAAGATAATTCAAAAAGGACAATCTAGCAGTTTCTTCAGGTATGCTTAGGTCCCTTATGCATAATCATCAGTCAACAGTAAAGGAGGCTTGTGAACTGTACTTTTCTAGTCTAATATTCCAAAGCAAAAAAATCACTCAAACACCCCTCTGAATGACACTTTGTTAACAGGATTTCCAATATTAGGCAGCCTCTGAAACTCACCTGCTCCCACTTCAAGAATATTACATTAGTTGAGTTGCTATACCAACTGAGCCACTGTCGGTGGCTTTCAATTGACCAAACACATGACCAAACATAACATTTTGGGAAAGCTGCAATTGTGTTTCAAGTCAAACCATAGCACAAAAGCAGCTTCATTAAAGTTACAAACAACCTCCTTATATCAGCAGAATAAGGTTATGTTTGTAAACCGCTTTGTGACTCTGGTCTATAAAAGGCACTATATACAGTAAACGAAGATTAGTTACTCACTCACTCACTCACTGAGAGTGGCAAATTAAGTTCAAGAATTTACCACAGTCAATTACGTTATCCTTCTTAAACACATTCAAAGCCTTGATTGCGTATCTGGAACAGTTTTATCCTGCTTCTCATTATACCCCACTTCTAATTATTTGTACGTAGTACTGAGGCTGTTGAGGTGTTCCTCAGGGTTCTAAATTTGGACCAAATTGATTTACAATATACATGCTACCATTTGGTCACATTATACATCAATTAATTGAAGGTAGTGGTTGGGCTTGAGGGTGTGGTTAGAGGCATTACCAGGGAGATGATGCGGAACAGTGGGCCCAGCAGAAACACCACGTTGTGGTGGATGTCTTCATTCAGAGCGTAAATGTAGAGGAGCTCCACAAGGCGGCAGCACAGTAGGATGACAGCTATAGCCTACAGAACAAAAAGATTCAAACTAAGTCAAAGCATATAGATAAAATGACTAGGCTCCCAGACTGGTACTTGGCAATATGGGTGAATTGTGTGAACAACACCTGGCTGTCCCAGTGGTCTGCCATCACAGTGCTAACCACGCCCTGTCCTGCTGATTGGCTGAGAGAGAAGGCTCTGCTCTTCTTTTCCACCAATCTAAATATCACAGAACTTACATTTGAAAACGACTACTAATGGAACCAAAATGTTTTGAAGGTCCTTGCTAGTATCAATCAATCAATCAAAGTTTATTTGTAGAGCGCCTTTCATACACAGGGCAACACAAAGCGCTTCACAGTCCACATCACAAATCATCACATAAAACAAACACCAGAATCACAATTAAAACATTAAAATCACACAAAAGATTAAAACACAATTAAAACATTAAAATCACACAAAAGAATAAAACCATTAAAACTTTCAAAATTACTGAATGTTTACATCAAAAATCCCTCTACATGTTTTGTCCTCTCTAAGACGCTGTCTATTGTCATTGGCACGAGGCAATGTCAATATAAAAGTGAGGCCATATTCTGTGTAGTAGAGCAGCTCACCGTCTTCACACAGCAGAGTGAGGACAAGGCCAGCCGGGGCCCGGGCGATCGCAGCTGCAGGTAGAGCAGGTAAAGCGGGGAACAGGTCCATAGGTAAATGCAGGGGGACCAGACCAGGACCGTGTGCTGAAAACACTGGGTGAGGTCAGGCCGTTCGGTGTACCACGTCAGGTTCCAGTCCTAGACACAAACACATCTGAAGTTTGTTTGACCCTCACAGGATCTTCAGACGATTAAATTCGGCATGTTAAAGAATGTATAGTAGTTACTGAAATAGAAAGCCTATGGACAAACATAACAGAGGAAGTAAGATGTAAGCAGAATGAGCAACGCAGCAGTGGGAATAAAGATCTATCATGGTGCGATGAAAAGGAACATACAAGTAACACAAAGGGCTTTTCTATCATTTAAGGCATCAAGGAACCACTGCCTCTGTTCACACAAACACACACTTTGTAAAGTGCTTTATTTGGCCACCACCTCCTCAGCCAGACCAGCTCTTCAAACCTTCTCCTTAGCTTCCACCGCCAGGGTCTTGGCCCCAGGGATCCACCACCAGGGTCTAGCTTTTAGATCATGATCCCTGTTCATTTCCCTTCTGCATTTTTCATGTAGTGCCGGGGTCCAAGCGGCAAATCATAACCACATTTCACGTAAATGTGCATGCAATGAATGTCGTTCAAGCATATAATGTCTGTCTTATGAGCTAATTTATGCAGATGCAATTCTAATAACCCCTTTGGACCGTTGACTTCCTCCAGATTATTTTTACTGTGTATAATTTTACTTGGTGCATTGCTCAACTTGTTGTTTTGGCTGGATAATGCCATCTGTCCATAAATATTAAGCATTTGTCAGTAAACTTTCTTCTTTACATTAAAAACAAGCACATAATTTTGCTCGACTCAACATACTGTATGTGGAGAGGCGAGTCTTCTCAATTTTCACAACAAAAAATGACCAAAACTATTCAATTAAATTTCTACTGCCCTAAATCACAACAGCAATAATCTCAGAGAACTTTACAAAGTTGTTGATTAGCCAACAACAGATCAGGGAATCAAACATTTCAAACTAAAAAAATACAATAATAGCAAACCTATAGGAGCCATTGGTCCATAAGGAACGGGAGGTCCATAAATGAACATGGATGTCATGGATCATCAATATCCTCAGACCCCACTGCATTGGCAAGAAACAACTCAGTGGGAAAACATTGGGGAGCCTAACATTGAGAGAGGGATAGACTATAGATCCAGGACTCAGGCTGTAGAATGGGAACTGAGGCTGTGCACCAAACCTGAATAAATTACAAAAAAATAAAAACAAAAGCTCTGAAAAGTCTATTTAACATGTTCTGTCCCATTTAAACAATATAAGGGGGCAGTTTTCCCATTTATCAACTTACCCAGAATGGATCCAGTCCACTAAGCCTGCACAGCGCCTCCATGCCTGCTTCCTGCTGCTCTGAAGGTGCTTGGTGTCCTGTCGATGTGAGTGCTGGGCTTGTGAATTGCATATGGAGTCATTAGCAGTGAGGTGAGAGCTGTCACATGTGCCGCACACGCCTCACACATTCTGGACACACACCGCAGAAGCATACACAATATACAAGTGTGTTTCAATAGTCCCTGAAAATCCAAAGCAGAAATGGACTTGGTTTTAGCTCCAACCAGGCCAATGCCAATTCTCACAGAACAATACAATGTTTTCAACCTACTATGTTGAATTAGAAATCATGTTGAATGAGTTCTTTAAATTGTGTGACATTTAAAAAAAAATTGTGCCAGCTATTTTATAAAACAAATATTGTGCCAGCTTTTCATGTGCCGTGGGTGATTTTGAAAAACGAAAAGGGTCAAAGCAAACTTCCCAAGTACGCAGGACCAGAGAGAGACCTGAGAGAGACCCCAGAGAGGCCTAAGAGAGATCCCAGAGAGACCTAAGACAGACCCCAGAGAGACCTAAGAGAGATCCCAGAGAGACCTAAGAGAGATCCCAGAGAGGCCTAAGAGAGATCCCAGAGAGACCTAAGAGAGATCCCAGAGAGGCCTAAGAGAGATCCCAGAGAGACCTAAGAGAGATCCCAGAAAGACCTAAGAGAGATCCCAGAGAGGCCTAAGACAGATCCCAGAGAGACCTAAGAGAGACCCCAGAGAGACCTAAGAGAGACCCCAGAGAGACCTAAGAGAGATCCCAGAGAGACCTAAGAGATATCCCAGAGAGACCTAAGAGAGACCCCAGAGAGACCTAAGAGAGACCAGAGAGACCTAAGAGAGACCAGAGAGACCTAAGCGAGACCAGAGCGAGAACAGAGAGAAACTATAGTCAAAGACCAAAGAGTGGCCAGAGAGAGAGACCACAGCACTCACATCAGCCACAATAATGACCCGCAGCCTTTAACAGCCGGTTGTTTGGATTGGATTATCAACAGAAGAAAATGAGAAAACATCCTTAAATACATTTTGTCTAGTGTTTAAATTAACTGCAAACACAGGGATTATTATAAATCTCGAGTATATATTACTTTCCAGATCTTAAAATAAGAAAATAAAAAAAATGATAATAAAAAAATTAATGATATTGTGAAAGGAACAGACTTGCAAATACGCAAGTAGAAAAGTTTTTCCCCCAACAACTGCTGTGTTCTAATCACAAGATTCAAGAATCTATTGTCATTGTCACAAAAACAACACAACTCAATTTTGAGCATCACCGTGATAATAGAGCGTAGAAAGTGTAGAAGTTGGCAGGATCTAAACGCTAGGGCTATAAGAGGTAGATTAACAGTAACAGTGTGTAAGTGAGTAGGTTAGCGTCAACAATGCACGACCTGTTCAGTTATGGCAGGTATGTAAAAGTGGAGGATAATGGGGGTCTGTGGGGGTGAGGAGGGGGTCAGTGTTCATTGAGCAGTCTGACAGCCTGGGGTCAGAGGCTGTTGGCCATTCTGCTGGTTCGGGCAGGGGGTGACCTGTACCTCCGGCCCGACGGCAGCAGGTGGAACAGTCAGTACATACAGCAAAAGCCACAATCCATTCGCATGTTGTAATTTCCTGCACTCCAGTACATTTAATAAAAAAGATAATAAACTTTATTGTTCCCATGGGACATTTACTGTGGGATACAACTGGCTAACTCACTTATGTATATCAGGTTTTTTTTTAACAGTTGTAAACTCATTGTCAAAATAATGATCAAATTGACCAAACTGGTCAAAGCAGTCAACATCGAACTCGGAATCATAGCAATGGTCATTGGGGAAAATGTGTACACAGTAGGAAATACAAGGTTCTGATATACCAGGATTCTGTAAAAAGATGAATTGCATCTGTAATTAAAGATACAGTACAGACCAAAAGTTTGGACACACTTCCTCATTCACTGAGTTTCCTTTCTTTTCATGACTATTGACTGTAGATTCACACCAGGCTGTGTAAGGGCTGTTTGACCAAGAAGGAGAGTGGTGGGTGCTGGGCCAGATGACCCGGCCTTCACAGTCACCGGACCTGAACCCAATCCAGATGGTTTTGGGGTGAGCTGGACCACAGAGTGAAGGCAAAAGAGCCAACAAGTGCAAAGCATCTCTGGGAACACCTTCAAGACTGTTGGAAGACCATTTCAGGTCACTACTACTGTGGTGATGATCCTGGACACTTTAACATTCATGACATTTATCAACATGTTCTCTATATTCTTTATGTTTTTTAACTGTTGATTCTCTGATCTGTTTTGGTGATTTCAATGGTTTTGTTAAGTCTCTGAGATTACTTCTGTTGTGATTTAGGGCTATACAAGAATAAATTGTATTGTATTGTATTGTATTGTACCTCTTGAAGCTCATCAAGAGAATGCCAAGAGTGTGCAAAGCAGTAATCAGTGCAAAAGGTGCAACTTTGAAGAACCGAGAATATAAAACATATTTCCAGTTGTTTCATACTTTTTTTTTAGTACGTACATAATTCCACATGAGTTAATTCATAGTTTGGATGTCTTCATTGTGAATCTACCATTTTCATAGTCCTGAAAAGAAAGAAAACTCTCACAGTTCCTGTCTGCGGTGGCTTGTTAGGCCCAAAAAATGCGCACGTTTCTTGAAGTTGTGTCGGATCGACACCGGTTGTATTCAGACCTGAATCGACTTGGACCAGAGTTCGTTTGGAAGCGGACCGAGACCACCTAAAAAAGTGGGTCTCGGTCCGGTTCTTTGGTCCGGGCCAGGATTCGTTTGTGTGTATTCACACCTGCATAAAAGGTTCGGATTAGAGTTCCAAACGAATCCTTGTCCGTTTAAAGTGGATCAAATGTGCAGGTCTGGATCCACCTCAACCTGAGACAGTGACGATTGTCTTCATGCAGCATGTTGTCTGTAATATTGACCATGGAGAAATCTTGCTCGCGCTCGCTTGACGTGGGGAGAGTCTTCTGTTGTAGCTCGGAGAGGGCCCATTGCACCAGCAGCTTCATTTTATGCCCTTTTTTTGACATGACAAACCCAAAATGAGCATGTGACACGCACTGTAGCTTTCGCTTGTTGTTAGCCATTTTCAACAAAATTCAGGTAAGGCCAGCTTGGTCGTACTGTGGCTAATTTGTGTACGGCTCCATTGAAGCGCTGCTTCCTATCCATATTATATAAATTGAAACCGTACATTTATATTCCTACTGTCGTTTAATGGCAATGAATACATTGAATGCGCAACAGCAATAATCTTACAACTTATTTTTTGAAATATTTTTTCAGTTTCACCAGACCACAGAGCTGCCTTATGTTGGAGCGGCCCGTCTTGAAACAAGATTTCACCCGAGCTGGGCCAACAAGAGCCAACAGAGCTGTAGCTTTAGGGAGCTGACTGTTGGCTCTTGTGTGTTTATGTATCAGACTGTAGAATGACCAACTGTTCCCCTTATACACCTGAGGAACATTTACCTGTAAATCAGATTCAAGGATCTGTATCGAAGCACACAGCTCCAGGAAGAACACATGCAGAGCGTTTGGAGTTCAAGTTAATTCTCTAGATTCATCCAAAATGTTTTATTTGAGAGACACTTGGTATTTTATCAATTTTATGACAATAGATAAATGCAAAGGGCGAGTGTACCCGAAGTTCCTTGCTTGGAAGTGGATGTGTGGATGGGGCTAAATAACACTGCAGGTTCTACGTCATGGTGCTACGTCCCTTAGGACTTCGCTAGTGGGATATCACTCGTGACCCCGAGGTCACACGCCAGAGAGATCAAAATAATTTGCTCCAATCACCAGCCACCCTCCTCTATAAATGCCCCTGCACAAGGCCGCACCCCCTCTTTCACTCTGGCGCCGTTTGAGATCTACTACAGTACTTACTTCATTCTGAAATGTCTTCCTTGTTCGTCCGAGTTCCCTTCGCCCTCCGGCGTCGGACGTCATCGCTGGATCCAGACGGTGGAGGACTTCACCTCTGTGGGCGCCACCACTCGAGGGAGGAGGAGGATACAACCCACGTTGTGCCCGCGGATGGACCCGTTCGTTCATTGCGCGACACGTGAGCTGCCCCTAGCAGCCAAGAGGCCTGCTCTGGGGCACGACATGTACTGCAGCGGGCAGGACTGGTCCTGGACCGGTGATCGAGGATTCGGTCCGCATGGCCCTGCAGCCCTCCGCATCCGTGTGGCCCGGCACCAGACCTCTCCTTCCCTCCGAGCGGGACAGGATGTCTTGGCGATGCTGGATAGATATTATGCCAATGCAGCACAGGTCCTCGCATTGACTAACAACATGGCATTCATCACGGGGGCCCTGGATATGTCGCTCTCTTCTGGCCAGGCGCTCAGTGGAGATCTCCTGTCACAGGCGAGGACCACCTCGGCGGCGACTCTGCGCATGTGCCAGACGCTAGCTGTGGATGGTGGCCGCTCCATGGCAGCAGCCCAAGTCGGGGCCAGGCACCTTTGGCTTGGGCTGGTTAATATCAGGGAGGCGGAGAGGAGGCAGCTGCTGGACCTGCCCATCTCTCAGATGTCCCTCTTCGGCCCGGACATGCAGGCCTTGGTGGCGAGACTGGAGTCTGCAGCTAAAGACTCGGCTAGGCTAGCCCCGCACCTAGCACCGAGGCGCCAGGCCCACCAGCCATCACGGAGCCGGGACAGAGGTCGAGAGCGTTCGCCCGGGAGGCATCCTGACCCGTATCCGCGCTCGGTTGTCCATCATCCCCCCTCGACGAGGCCCCCGGGTCCAGACAGGCACACAGGAGGCTCGCGGGAGCAACGCACCCACCGCCGACCTCCCTATGGCAGAGGAGGTCGGGGTGGAAAGTTTTCCTTCAATAAAGGCCGACCGGCATTTCATCATTACTCGTTTCTGAGTCTCATTTGGGGGTATGTAACATGTCAAATAATGTGAATTCTGATTGTGTTACTTCCCGAGCACATAACGTTGCTTCGCTACGCCTGCAGCCCCCAGAGCAGGGT